AAATATGAGAGATGCCCTCTCAAAAAAAAAAAAAAAATTATACCTTTAAGAAATAGGCTGAGGTATTTATTTTGACATATTTACATACTTACAAAATTGGTTTTATCCAATACATCATCCTGCACAGTATCTTAAAAAAGGAACACCATATTCTGGGAGTAAAAATCTGAGATTCCTAATAATTTATGCAAACCTAAGAGCTTTTAGAACATACTACTATCAGTTTGGCTTCATAAATTCCTGTTTAGAATTTCCTCTAGCCAAGGAACAAAGTAAATTCAACAGTTACATATTAATTTAGTTGACCCTGAGTATATTACTAATTTGTGTAACTTTTGAATAGATGCACACAATGCATTTTCATCTACTTATGTTTCCTAACATACTACCATTTGGTCTATGTTCTTTCATCTCCATTTGCTACCCCGTTTACTCTTGAGAGAAAGAGGAATCAAGAATGGGGAAGTGCAACGACGGAGACTAGTAAGAGACAACCATCAGTCTACCTAAAGCTTTCCAGTGCCAAAGGCCAAGGCACAGGGCTAACAAACTTCAGCAGGATCTTGCACTGCATAATCTGAGTACCTTCTGTCAACTGAGGTTGATGTTGACTTGCTCTTCCTACAGTTTCTCCTGTTCTCTTTCATGCTATTTGAACAAACAATTGTACAAGCTTATAAAATTCAATAATAGTTCCTGGGGCTCTTCAGGAGAAATAAAATATCACAAACATGACCAAAACAACAGTGATAAAGAATTATGTTAAAGACCGATTTCCCTAAGAAGCTTGAGGGAGAAAAAAAGCAATTAGTCCCCAGTTTGACTCTCTCTAAAAACTGCTAGTACAGGAATTATAAGAAAATGAGCTGGAAGGAAAAAAGGAACAAGGGCAGTTGGGTGATCGGTCAAGGGAACTGTGGCCTCAGACTGATGGCATGCGTACCTGATGCCAAAATGCCAACATTAAAAGACAGCGTGGCTGAGGCTGCCATAGCTTTGAGAGAGAGTGAGGTACTTTCCTTGCCATTCATACAACAGAGAAATCACAGGATGTAAAAGTAAACAGAGGTTGGGAAAACAGAGCCTTTGGGTCAGTCGGGCTCTGATTCTTTCAAAGATAACTCTGGGCCAAGAAAAAAAATAATCAGAGAAAAAGCAGAAAGGCCTGTACTTCTGTATTTCTTTGTACAGGCCTGGATCCTGTATTTCTCTTTTCCATCTGCCCTCCCTAATTGTCCTCACCCACTCACACTGTTCCAAACAGCAGAGGCTTACGGAATTCCCAGGTGCAATAAAATTACTTGGCCTGAACCAGGCTACAGCATAACTTTGCCACTGCTATTAGAGAATTCTAGGAAAATCCTAGCCTAATGGGATCATAGTGTTAGTGATTCTATGGAAACAACCCTCAAAAACATCAAATAAGACATTTTGAGACTTGGTAAAATAAAATTAAAATGCATTTTTTGGGATCTCCAAAATTCCCCTGTAGTAGGAAGAAAATTAGTAGAAATATTTTAAGTACTTTCCTTCATCCCTAATTGTGATTTGTCATCAGGCCAATGCTATGATAAAATACTGTTAGAAAAGGGTAGCTTTTAAAAACAAAGGATAAAAGGAAATGGTAGAGAAAACTTGGCCTGAACCAGGCTACAGCATAACTTTGCCACTGCTATTAGAGAATTCTAGGAAAATCCTAGCCTAATGGGATCATAGTGTTAGTGATTCTATGGAAACAACCCTCAAAAACATCAAATAAGACTTTTTGAGACTTGGTAAAATAAAATTAAAATGCATTTTTTGGGATCTCCAAAATTCCCCTGTAGTAGGAAGAAAATTAGTAGAAATATTTTAAGTACTTTCCTTCATCCCTAATTGTGATTTGTCATCAGGCCAATGCTATGATAAAATACTGTTAGAAAAGGGTAGCTTTTAAAAACAAAGGATAAAAGGAAATGGTAGAGAAAAGTTTCTTATTATGAAAGAGAAAACAAGAATAAAGTATTCCATAAACACCAATGAAGGTGGAAAAAAGTACTCTGTTCTTGTGGCACAGCAACTGGCTACATGTCTTTCTCATTACTTGTAATGACACAGACATCTCAATTTCACTGAACCTCACTGTACAGGCTTAGAAATTAGCATATGCCATAGTTGTGAAACTAATACTTACTCTTCTCATCCTTGGATAAAAAACAGAAAAATCAAGTAAGTACTTGAAATAATATTAATACAAAGGAAACATTACATGTAATGACAGTGCACGATAAGAGCTTCAACACCCTTATTAAGATTGTGCTAATTCTTTCATATTTGAAGAACTGTATACAAAAGTAAAACTTAAATTACATTTATATAAGAAACTATCTTCAAAAAGTTATTTGAACTTGCATATATAGAGTTGAAAGTATAAGACAAATTATTTAATTTTGATTTATATAAATCCAAAAATGTTAAAAATATATTATCTGGGGGGAAAAGCTTTTACTAAATACAAATATAATGGACTAAACAAACCACATTGAATATAAAAACTTTTTTTTTTAAAACTTCCATAGAAAGTAAAGGCAGAATGGCACAAAGTTACAAAAGCAGTGTTTGAGGCACAATAAGTAAGAAGGAACCTTAATTAAAACAAGATGCATACAATTCCATAAACAACAAAGCAATTCCCTCTTAAAAATGTCTCTGTTGGGAAAATACGAGCGGAAGCAGAAGTAATGGCTGTTGGCAGTTTACTTGGAAGTACTGAGGAGTACTGAACAAACATAACCCAAATGCTTCTGATTTTAAATACACTTCAATCATTTGCCACTTAATGGTCATACAGCAATGAAAAAAGATACTACCTCAATGTTCAGAGTGTCAATCTGTGAAATGCCATAACTTATTTTTAAAAAAAGAGAGATTTTGTTTCAGACCATGTGAGTGCATAATAACCCAAAGAAAATGATCAATCCCATTGTTTTGATCCAGACTAAAGACAGGCACAGAAACATGCACCATCTCCCTACAGGCAGGTTTCTGAGGGCAAATGACTGAGCACACTACTCCACATCAGACCTGAGACGTGCACACACGGAAAGCATCAAGGACTGACAAGGAAGGGATGAAGCATGAATTAAAAGAAATTATGCTTTTAGAGATTAGTCAATAAACATGTTCCTTCATTTACTATGTCTTCTTAAAAACAAAATAATCAAGTATGTATCATTAAGTTAAATGTCTTAGCACATGAATGTGCCCCTTGTAAATTTGGTACATGAAATCATCCTATAAAAATATTCATATATTTTCTTTTTGAGAACTATGTATGTCAAGTTTTGTGATCATAAAAAGGATCTGCTTTTCATCTGCTGGAATGACACATGACTCTCTAGTAAAGAAAAACTGCAGTCTACAGGGAAATTAAAATTGATTCATTGATGCAATCCAATTTAAGGTATACTCTCTCTTCTTTACCACCAAGCTCAAAATGAGGCAGCCTCAGGATCCTAGGAAGGCATCTTTCAAATGGCACGGGCCGGCAGGCGCTGTTTATACATGCCTGCTATGGCTTTGGCCGCGCTGTAGATCATCTGCCGACGAGACATGCCAGTGAAAGCCACGTGCCAGTCAGTCCGGCTGACATTTAGCAAACTCTTCTCCAGAACTTCACCCACTGTCACCAAAAGGCCTGACCACCTCAGATTGTAGTCCTGGGGAGTGAGACTTTGAGCCTATAGAAATGAAATGGACATCATTTGAATACATTTTTAAAAATATCATTGGAATTAGAGATATTTCAAGCAACATTTCAGAGTTTCTCAAGATACTTTTAATACAGATTATGACAAACCCTGAGAAACACAGCTATGCTGCCAACTATATGAAGTTGCAAGGCTAAAAAGACTGGAAACATATTACACCAACTTTAAATTGTCCACCTTAAGCTCATTTTGTTCAAATATAATTTAAGTCTTAATCTAATGACTCCATCTAACAGTTCGGTGTCAGAGGATTTAAGTTTTAATTCTACTGTCAGTATCACTTCAGGTTACCAAGATTAGTGCTAAAACAGAAACATCACGTATCTTTTTACAGTCATAAAATTCCTACCACAAAGAGGGAAACTGCATATTAAGGCTTTAATCCATTCAAAAAGTAACATTCAACTGATCTGAAGAAGAGTGCCCAGAAACTTCATTTTCTGGTAAAGTTAATACACATCAAATAATAACCCACCCAGGACCACACTGGCATCATTACATCATTTATCCTTAACCAAACCTGAGCTGCTCCAACTCCTTCCACACACAGGACCAACTCATTGCTTGGTATCAGAGAATGATGTCGTTTCTCTGTCTTAGGGTATTAGATACAGTCCAGGGGAGTCTCTCCATATGTAAATAGATCTATACAGTGATTCTCAAATGTGCTATGTGAACCTGAAATGTTTTTTATGCCCCATCTAAGACTGCTGAGTTAAGTGTCAACTCCACAGCTGGTTCCAAGAGGAAGAGTACAGTATTTACAAATAACTTCCAAGCAAATCTACTACAAACAGCCCAGAGTTGGGGTCCCTGTTCGAAGTCTTCCACTATGTCCACTGTACTATCAGTATTGTACTATGTTTCAGAGAGGAGAAATAGCAGATAATCACTGTGGCCCTTCAAGACACTAGCAGAACTTTGCTTCTCAAATGAGATCTGCACACCAAGCCCCTGAGGATCTTGTGAGGATGCAGATCCTCACTCAGCAACTCTGGGTTAGGGCCCAGGAGTTTGCACTTCTTAACAAGTTCCCAGGTAATGCTTATGCTAGGCCTAGGATCACACTTTTGAGGAACAGGATATTGGGCAGTATCAGCAAAAATCCAGCAAAGCTGGGCTTTTAACTGGGGGTGAGATTTATATTTATAAAATTTATATTTATATTTATAAAATTTATTTATCTATTAAACGTTATGTATTAAATTTATATTTAAGGTAAAAATTTTCTTGTATTAGACTATAGTCGACATACAATATTGGTTTCAGATGTACAACATAGTGATTGACAATTACATTGCTAAATGCTTTTGTGCTTTTTTATGGCTAATATCACATTGTGTATATGTACCACCTCTTCTCTGTCCATTCACCTACTGATGGACACTTAGACTGCTTCCATATCTTGGCTATCGTAAACAACATGTGATAAATACAGAACTGCAAATTATCTTTTTGAATTAGTGATTTTGTTTTCTTTGGGTAAATTCCCAGAAAAGGAATTGTTGGGTCATGTTGGTATTTCTAGTTTCAGGGTTTGAGAAACTTCTATCCTGCTTTCCTTAGTGGCCACACCAAGTCAAAATTCTATCAGCAGTCTAAGAGGGCTTCCTTTCCTCCACATCCTCACCAACACTTGTTATTTCTTATCTTTCGGATAGTGGCTATCCTATCCAGTGTGAGGAGATACCTCATTGTGGTTTTGATTTCCACTTTCCTGATGACTAGTGATGTGAAGCATCTTCTCATTTGTCTATTGACCATCTGTATGTCTTCTTTGGGAAAACATCTGTTCAAGTCCTCTGCCCATTGTTTAATCAGATTGTTTTTTGGTGTTGAGTTGTAGGAATTCTTGATATAATTTAGGTATCAGCCCCTTACTGGATACACCATTTGCAAGTATCTTCTCCCATATAGTAGGTGGCCTTTTGTGTGTTAATGGTTTCCTTTGCTGTGTGGAAGGTTTTTAGTTTGATGTAGGCCCACTTTTTTATTACCAAGCATAAATTCTATGGATTTTTATCCAGATTTTCAGTAAAATTATAATTATAATCCCTTAAAGAGATGATATCTATTTCCTTAAATAAAAAACTAACAAAGGCAGAAATAAACCTCTCAAGATGGATAAAAAAAAAAAGGGAAGAGAGCTGCAAAGCAGGGATAAAAGGGCAGCATCTCAATACACATACTTTCATATCTTCATAATTTTGAACCTCGTGGAAAAAAAAAGCGACAAGAGAAAAAAGAAAATACAAACCAAATGATACCCTCTGAACACTTTTCAGAGTTAACCACATTAACAGTTTGTTGTGTATCTTTCCAGGCCTTTTTTTCCTTTTTCTATTTATATACATTTTAAAATATATATGTATGTGTGTATATGTACATATGGATCATACTAGATGCAGCTTTTTATTCTACTTAGCAATGTATCAGATAAATTTTGATATTTATATAGAGTTTTATTAGTCTTATAGTTTCAAAGCTTGGTTCTGTGAGCATCGCGTCCATTTCTTTCCAATATATATTTCTAAAACTGCCCGCCTGCAGTAGTCAGACACCTAGCACAGGGATTACCAAACTTTTTCTGGGAAAGGCTAGACACTAAACATACTAGGCTTTATTGGCCAGTCTCCACTGCAGCTGTTCAATTCTGCTGCTCTAGCACTAAAGCAGCCACAACACTATATAAACACATGGGCATGGTGTGGTCCAGTAACATTTCTTTAAAAGAAAAACAGACCACAGGCCAGATTTGTCTGCAGGCCATTTTTTTCCTGATCCTAAGGTTTCCTTCTGTTTCGTTTTGTTTCTTTTTTACATTCTCTCCCTCATCAATGATCCACTTCGGTGCATTTCTACCATTTGCAATGAAATTTGCACTTGTATTTTTCAGTTATATACACTGTCTAGTCCACTTAAATTTCTAATGTTTATCATCAGGTCTGATTTTTGCATTAATTTTCCAGTGCACACATAACTCTTCACCAATTAGAATTAAAATGGCATCAGCATGATTATTTCTAGCAAATACTTTTCAATTCTAGTGAAATTCCTTTTCTTCTTCAATCTGTTTATGTACTGAATTGCATTAATTGATTGATTTGTTTAAACTAGTCAGCCATTCCTGGGACAAATCCTTCCTAGTTAGGATATGATGTTAGTGATGATGTGTTTTATAGCAAGAAATATATTTGGTCTTTCATTTTTGGCAGAGCTCCTAAAACCCCTGGAATTTTCTAAATGATGAGAGCAAAAAAGCTGTCTTTTGTTAATGAGATGACTTTTGGACAGGCCTCAGGTAACTTATGGAGGGAGGCCGGCTGCCAGCAAGAGCAGCCATGTGAGGAGGTGGTTGGAACTTTCATCCCCCGAATCTCCAGCTCCAGGGCGGGGAGAGAGGTTGAGGTCGAAGGAATCATCAGTGACCAATGATTTAATCAAATGTGCTGATGTAATAAAGTCTCCTCCATGAAAACCCAAAAGGAAGGCACTGGGAGAGCTTCAGGCTGGTGAACACATGGCGATACAGGGAGAGTGCACAGTTGGTGAACACGGCAGCTCAGCAGCCTTCTTCCCCATTTGGCCTATGCCTCTCTTCCCCCTGGCTGTTCCTGAGTTATAACCATTTATAGTAAGCTGTCAATACAGCGAGCAATCTGGTTGCCTGAGAAGGTGGGGGTGGTCAGAACCAACCCATAGCTGGTAGGTCAAAAAAGCAAAGGTGATGACCTGGGCTTACTACTGCCATCTCAAGTGGGTGTGGTCTGGGGATGGGTTGGGACAGGGAGCAGTCTTATAGGACTGAGCCCTTAGCCTATGACATCTGATGCTATCTACAGTGTACAACTGAGGTAGGACACACAGCAAATATCCTAGAATTGCCTGATGGTGCCAAAAAAACCTCTCCCACACACTGGAATTCAGTCCAAAACCTAAGTGGTTGGTGTCAGAGGGCTATTTGCTAGAATGGCCCTGGCTCATGGAAACGTGGTTTGGGAAGAGAAAGGATGAAAGGGGAAAAATGAATCTGCTGGGTGGGGATGTGGTCACCCTTGGTCTGGAGCAGTAACTGTGTTGTGCCTAGTTACTAAAGGTAAAAATTACCAAGGGAATTTAGAGAGGGTTCCAACATCTGGGGAGCTGATTCACTGCATGTATCCAGTAATGCAAATTAATAGGAAAAAGGCAAAACAGTTAATCCCTCAGTTATTGTTAACTATAACAGCTAAAACTAAAGTATAAGAGTTTGCTGGGTCTGGCCTTGATGTTATAACAAGCTCAGATTTTGGTCAGTCTGAGCTTTGGCCATGAGTCTCAAAGCCACCCTCTCCCCCAAGGTAAAATTGTGCAGGGACAACACACAGTCCCTCTTAGACTTCTGGTCATGAAGAAGGTGGTCAACACGGAGGCAGGACAAAACCAGGTAACTATGAAAGCCAGAGGGTAAGTGTGAAGGAACTGTCTCATTCTGAGGACTGCTGTCAGCTGCCTGAGGTAGCTTAGCTAAAATGGACTGAGACTGACTGACTTAGGAGCAGCTGAGTGCTGCAGAATGGAAGCCTGTCTGGGCTGATACAGGACCTACAACTCACTATGGAGCACAAACAGATGGCTGTACGTGATCCAAACACACAGGAGGGTAGTCCTGCGGGAACAGCCAGTCTAGGGATGTGGATAAAGCAGCTCTAAGGTCTACTGACCTAAGGCAGACTGTCAGTTCCTGTAAATGCCAAGTGGAACAGCCCCAATGAAGCATTTAACATGCTTCCTATACGAGATCATCAGCCACTGAACACACCGGTACCCAGGTCATGGTTAATGCTGTGTTTATGGCCCCTTTCACATGGGCAGCACATATCACCCTATTGTTGCAAAACCAAAACACAGTTCCAGGGAAGGGCTGTCAAATTTGCTGTCTCAGCTTCCCCTCACAGGTCTTACAGATGCTAATAACATTATATTAATTA